ATTTAAAGAACTAAGAGAACACCAACATTATATGCCAACTGAGGAAGCCACATCGGCGAAACGCGTTTTGGCAAGCATATTGGACATTACAAGGTTTTATTTATTGTATTACTACTACTTATTTTTATTTATTTACCTTTTTTGAATAAATATTCTTTGCTTTGGAAAATACCTTCCATGGTTCATCATTGAGGGGAGACTGACCACAACAAGCATCAAAGAGGTTTGGGGATCACCCAACTAAGATCCCAGAGGAGATCCACACCAGAGCCAGGTTATACTATATGGCTCTTCCATTGTGAGTGAATTTGACACATGTTTTATTAAGAGCTTGTGTATAGCAATATTTGCACTATTTTTGTATATCTCTATTTCCCACAGCTTAAATTTAGAAGAAAGAGAAGTATTAATTTTATTTTTCTTTCTTTCATTATCACCATTTGCTCCACCTATTTCTTTGTGTGTTGTATGTTATTTTATGTGAAGGTGTAGGGGATACCTCACTGGTGTGTTTGAGCAAATATCACTTCTTTAGACATACCTGTGTTATTATTCTATTATGTTTTTATGTTTGTATTCATGCTTGCACCTCATACACCCCTCCCACCTGCGATGCACTCCGTAAGCTACCGACCAAAATTAGATAGAGCGGAGATCATGCCGCTCTCTCCCTCTGAGCCAAAAGACATGCGAAATAGCCCTCAGGTTACCCGGGGACAGCCCTTGAGTTCGGAGGAACTGGGACACAAGGACCCCCCGAAATATATATGTCGAACACAAGCACAAATACCATCTTATGACCACCTCCCACCCTGAAAATCTACTCACACAACGTTAGGGGACTGAACATCCCGGTTAAGAGACACCTCCTATACCGAGAAATCAAACATAAAGCAGTAGACGTTCTATGCCTTCAAGAGACACATTTCATGACCAACGCACACCCCACCGTCCTACAGAAAGATTATCCTATACAAATCCACGCCACATCGGCCAGCAAAACCAAAGGCACCTCCATACTAATTAGCAAAAATGTGGCCTATGCCCCGCATTCCCAACACATTGACCCGGACGGCAGATACGTCATTATAGTAGGCACACTTAATGACATGCCCTACACCATAGCGAACATATACGCCCCCAACACAAACCAACACAACTTTTTACACAAACTTATACAGAAACTGCAGTCAGTACAGCTAGGGACGACAGTCATATGTGGCGACTTCAATCATGTATTTGACCCCTCCATAGATACGACACTAGCTCCAGCTAGAAAGCGCAACGCACCCCTCCGCAAACAAAGTAAGGCACTTTGCAAGCTTATACACAACAACCATCTGTGTGATGTATGGAGAGCCACTCATGTAGGGGAAAGAGGGTATACATTCTTTTCGACAGTGCACAACACCTATTCCCGCATTGATGGCTTCCTTATCTCAGGGACAGGGATAGACCAAACGGCCCAGTGCGAGATAGGACAGATTACATGGTCCGACCATGCCCGGTAGAGCTAACGTTGAAAAACCTATATGACCCGACCCATAGAAGCCTGTGGCGAATAAACACAACATTACTGAAAGATAGCGCCTTCTGCACGGAGCTGAACCAAAACTTAGCCCAATATTTCCAAGACAATGATAGACCTGAAACGAGCCGCGGTACCCTGTGGCAGGCCCACAAATCAGTGATATGGGGACAACTGATACAGCAGGCAGCATACCTAAAAAGGAAATCCCACCTTCAGCTCCACACATGCCAAACAGACCTCCAGCGCGCCACGACACAAAACCAAATAACTCCCTCACACGAACTGCAGGAACAAATCACGAAACTCACAAGACAGATACACCAAATGTCCTTAGAACAAGTGGGATACCACCTGAAAAGGCTAAAGGCACAAAACTACACACAGGGAAACAAGGCAGGTAGACTGTTAGCACAAAGATTAAAGTCACAACAAGCAGCCCAAAAAATAGCGTACTTGCTGTCTCCAAGCGGACAGAAAATAGTGGCACCCAAGGACATTAGTAACGCATTCACCAAATACTACGAAGCATTGTACAATCTCAGGGACGACCCAAACACATCCCAACCACAGGGGGCCAAAATAGCCTCCTACTTAGACAAGATCGCCCTGCCCAAACTTACACCCGCTCAGCAGGACAGCCTGTCCGCATTGATAACAGAAACGGAGGTGATGAGAGCGATTGACTCTCTACCTTCCGATAAAGCCCCAGGTCCAGACGGGTTCGCCAACTGTTACTACAAGTACTTCCAAAGAACCCTAGCCCCTCACATTACTAATGCTTTTAATGAAGCAGCCACGAAGCACGCACCCCCGCCAGAAGCCCTCAAAGCTCATATCATTACATTGCCTAAACCGGGCAAGCCACCAATCCACCCACAAAATTTTCGACCGATATCACTACTGAACACAGACACAAAACTCTTCGCGAAAATATACGCCATCAGACTGGGCACGATCCTCCCACACCTGATAAGGAATGATCAAGTTGGATTCGTTAGAGGGAGACAAGGGGGGGACAACACGAGAAAGGTCATCGACATTATACATAGCGTCCACAGGCAACATACAGAATGTGTAACGCTCTCACTAGACGCGGAGAAGGCCTTTGACCGCCTGAGCTGGAGGTTCCTGGAAGCAGTCCTGGATAAGTTTGGGATGCCGGGGGCATTCTGCTCGGCGGTGGAGGCCTTATACAGCAAACCATCGGCACAGGTAGTCACGGCAGGCTTCACATCGGAACCGTTTAGCATCACCAACAGAACGAGGCAGGGATGCCCACTCTCCCCCTTACTATATGTGTTGGCTTTAGAGCCGCTAGCGGAGACAATACGGGCCAACAGCTCCATACACGGAGTAACAGTGGGCGACAGGGAATACAAAATCAATTTGTTTGCGGACGATGTCATGTTGACACTAACGCAACCCCAAATTTCACTACCAAACCTCATGGAAGACATTAAAGAATACGGCCTTAACACCTACTACAAATTGAATGTCTCTAAATCCCAGGCTATGGGTGTGGGAGTCCAGTCCCACCGGCTGAAACATTTGAGTGAGCTTTTCTCATTCGACTGGAGGAAGGATTATATTACCTTCTTGGGCGCCCATATACCCCCCCACCCACTCCATTTGTTCAAGTTAAACTTTACTAAACTGATCAAATCATTTACAGACACGCTACACACATGGGAGGGCAAATATCAATCGTGGCTGGGCAGACTGGCGGCGATTAAGATGTCTATACTTCCCAAACTCCAATACCTGCTGCGCACAGTCCCGATTAGTCTGCCGGGCCAATACATGAGCACAATCCAAAAGCTGATCGTACGGTTTGTGTGGGCCAACCGCAAGGTGAGGGTGGCCAGCAAGCTCTTACAAAAACCGATCAAAGAAGGGGGACTGGGCATGCCCAACATCCGTTCTTACCATAGAGCCACATTGCTGACTGCCATAGCAGCGACAAACGCAGTAGAAGACCCCCCCCAATGGGTCCACATAGAAACACACTGGGCATGCAAACAGGGGCTGTGACACCTATACCAGCTGCCGTACAAACTACGACCGCTGTACACAACCATGTTACCAACCACGGCAGCAATGATCAAAACATGGGACTCTGTGAGGGCATCACTGGGCATGGTCGGACCAACTATAGGGAATATCCCACTCACGAGCATCTCAGTGGGCATACCGACGTTTGACCACACCCCCTGGGTGAGAGGGGGATGTACCCACCTTAGCCAGATATGCGTGGACAACGAGTTACTGCCATTCCCAGCACTGCAAACCAAGTTCTCCTTGCAATCCAGACACATATTCCCTTACCTCCAACTGAAATCATTTGTGGCCTCACACTGCAAGGGTCCATGTGCCGAACCACCAAATATTGACGCCTTAGAACAGATATGCCTACAGGGCAGTATACATAAAAAAATCCTGTCGAAACTATATGCGCTACTGAATGCAGTAGATACAAACAGACACGGAGACTTTAGAGATGCCTGGCAGAAAGACATAGGACGCCCAATAACAGACCTAGACTGGAAAAAGGCATTCCAAACGCACAAAGGGCACACATCATGCGCGACTCATCTAGAAACAATGAGGAAAATTATGTACAGATGGTATATGGTCCCGGACAAATTAGCGAAACTATACCCGGGAAGCTCAGGGGAATGCTGGAGGAGTTGCGGAGAAAGGGGGACAATGTACCACATTTGGTGGATGTGCCCGATAATCACTCCCTACTGGGAGATGGTGGAAGAGATAATCACTGACGTGATAGGCCGCCCTTACAGCTTGGGGCCTGAACAGGGCATACTATTCATGCATCTTGCCCAATGGCACAAGCAGGAAAGACAATTGATATTCCAAGTGCTCATAGCGGCAGTAACCCTGATAGCCAGACAGTGGAAACAACCACAAGCACCCAGCAAACACGATCTCCTAACACAAACATCCACAAACTGGGAATATGAGGCTATGGCAAATAAATACATTACAAATAACCACACGTTCATAGACACAAAAAACAAATGGGCAAAATACATTCAGAGAAGTTCACACCACTCCAGAACTCAGGACGCATAGGTACGCTAAGACACGAGAGATCGAGTAGAGAACCAAAGCTAGAGAGACGGGGAACGTCTGAGACTTGACCTGGGAGGAGGTCCTAACACATAGAACCGATGGTACCGATGGAACTAGTAACTAGGAAACATAGGCCCAGAGGGAGGGCAAAGAGGAACACCATTTTCAAGAGGTCCACAAACTGAATCTCTTCCCCTTTCTTCCCTTAATTCTTTCCCTTCCCTTCTCTGCACACCCTACCCCCACCCCCCCCCACACAACTATCGAGCTACAACTTAATATGTATCTAGACAGCCGCCCTAGTGAGCACCCCGCTAGTAGTTCACAAACGCCTAGCCCAGACGCTACCAACAGGCAACCACATTACGCAAGCTCCCGAGGGGAGAAGAACCCAGACTCCCTGAAGGAGACCAGTATACAGGGGCAGGGGGTCGGCACAATACGCACGGGATAAGGGCGAGCAACACAACACACGTGTTGCAAAACTAATTTACCCGCTAGACGCTAGTCCAACCACACAAGTGGCGATATTACGACCAGCACTCCATACTACACTTGCGACTCCGAGAAAGGTAGCAAATACGGATTGGGAAAATATGAACGTTTAAAGTGTAATGGTTAAAATTGTATACGCTAGCATTGGAAATGTGGAACGCGTAATGTGTGATGTGAACTACATAATGTACGTATCCAAGGCAGAAAGTGTACATGTAAACAACGTTGCGTAGTTCCCTCCCCACCTCCCCTTTTTATTCTGTACCCCTCATATACTCCTTTTTGATGTATTACAAAATAAAAATTGTCAAATTGAAAAAAAAAAAATAAGAAATACAATAAGTATTATAAAAAAAGAAGATAATGGTATTATAAAAAATTTAAAAGGTCAAAGTCTATATTTAGACCTTGTGGGGCAAGAGTCTTTAAGGTATATGTCCATTCCATTTTTTTGGTCCCTAAAATTATTTTTTATATCTCCACCTCTCCATGAGACACTACATGTGTCTATGCCTATGTATTTAAGATGTAGGGTTTTTACCGTGTTTTAAAAAAATGTTTTGATACTGAATGGTTCTCATAACCTTTTAAAATATTCTGGCAGTGTTCTGCCAGTCTGGTTTTAAGATTCCTGGTGGTCATGCCAACGTATTGGAGCCTGCACGGGCATTCCAATAAATAAATCACATTCTTTGTGTTACAGTTGATATTTTTTTATAGAGTATGTTTTTTGTGTCATTGATGATTTTAAAAAAGTAGTTTTTAATTTATTAGTATTGTGACGAGACCAATCTCACCACATTGCATTGGAGAAGCCTGGTTGCTCGCCTGTTACCTTTGGATTATGGCCCCATGTTAAAAGGCTTGATTTTCCCCTGCAAAGACAAGAAAGCTGGGTCATTTGGTGCTTGCCCTGTTTGAGCAGTGATACCCTAGATAGCTATGGCATGGAGCCCATTCGTATAATGAAAGACTATGGGAAAGACTTTGGCTCCATGGCAATTGAACTGTATGTGTGTGCTCTGAGCGCCATTCAGTAATAATGTGCGCTCAGACCTAAGCTATCTGGGCATATGTTGCATGTCTGTATTTTATGACATAAATGTAACCTTGTGTATTTTATTGTATTTTACTGTCTTTTTGCTGCCATGTGTTCAATGGAGTTTTGCCTCTGTCTTTGGAGATAATTGGATTACTTCTAAGTATCTCCAGGATAGAAGACTCTGTGGAACTGGTTTTGGGAAGAAAAGCCATGCTTCCTGTGGTCACAAAGGACTACGATCTATCTTTTGAACCACTGGACCAATTTCTATGATTTTGACGCATGTTTGTATTTGGAGTATGCTGATTCTGAAAATGTAAGTTTTATGTGAATGTGATGCATACTTTTCAAGTTATGAATAATGTGGAAAAATTGTATTTCTCTGCCTGTACTAAATTACATTACCCATTGTGTAAGGTAATTGAATCACAAGCAGAGGGGAGGAATTTGTGTGGGAGTATCTGAGTGTATTGTATGTGTTTATTGGTTGTGTTCCAAAACCCTGTGGGTGGTACTAATGTGTAAGAATGTATACATAAGCACAATAAACCCACAGCTCTGTCTGTTCACTGCTTGACCCTCAACACGGAGCTTTGTCTCGTTCTTGGGGGGGATTTACTGAATGCTGTTCCAGTTTGACTGCTAGGAGTGTAAACCTATTCGTATGGTTTTTCCTATTCGGTTGTTTACAGCATTCGTATGGTTTCATGTTCGGCGCATTGGTGTTCTACAGTAGCTGTGCCTGCATCTCTGGAAGGGGACGATCGCCTAAACGGTTTTAACCCTGTATGTGCTGAAACGGTCCGTTACAAGTATCATCCATACGTTTGCAGACTATGCACTTGTTACATTTTAAAAAACCTTTAGGTTTAGTTATAAAAGAGGAGGAGCATAAGGAAGGAGTAGTGTGATTATGTTTGGTATAGTTTTTTTGTAAGGATGGATTTAAAGCTGGGTGCCCCTCTAAATATAACATGTGGTTTGTCGGGAATAAATCCAGTTAAAGTCTCATCCTGTTTTAATATATGTCAATGTTTATTAATGATCTTCTTCATTACAATATCAACTGAAAAATAAGGGACCAGAGCCAGTGCAACTGTAAGGCGGCACACATGGCTGCAAAAATACAAAATCCATGGCTTGATGCACGGGTTTATCAATTTTAAAATCCCTGTTCATGGTCTGCTGTGCTCATCCCGTGCTCCGTCATGGAGGTGAAACAGTCTGCCGACCCATCCATGGCCCTCACTTAATTCCAGAGGCGGCTCTCTAATTAGGCGATTTAGGCGGCCGCCTAAGGCCTCGCGCAGTCAGGGGCCTCGCGGCCGCCTAAATCGCCTAAGGGCAGACTGACATGTCGGGTTCTCGGTCTATGAACCAAGGACCCGACACAGGAGGGGGCCCGGCGGCTTGTCCTTTGTGCCGCCGGGTGCGAGGCCCCTCCTGTCAGGAGAGAGCCGGCCTCAGTCTGCAGCTCCGCCGGGTGTGAGCTGCAGACTGAGGTGTCTCGCGCTCTCCAGCCAATCCGAGCGTTGCCGCGGGTTACCACGGCAACGCTCTGAATGGAGATCGCAAGACAATCCCCATGTGGTCTGCAGCTCTGCATCCGGCGGAGCTGCAGACCGGAAAGCCCACTGGACCACCAGGGAGCCATATAGGACACTGGACCACCAGGGACAGATTGACCCCACTGGCGCACCAGGGAAAAAGGTACATTTTGACCCCCCCTCACCCTGCACCCCCCCTCATCCTGCCACCTAACACTGTCACCCCCCTCACCCTGTCACCTCACCCTGTCACCCCCC